ACATAACTGGAGCAAATCTGTATGTGAACCAAATGAGAATTGAACGTGTCTCACAGTACAACTACTTGAGAACTATAATCAATGAGTCGTGAGACAATACCCAAGAGATTAAATGTCGCATCGGAAAAGCAAAAAGTGCATTTTTGACTATGAACTCTGTGTTTAAGAGCCATAACCTCACCTTAAAAATAAAAATAAGGCTCCTTAAATGTTACGTGTACTCAGTACTTTTGTACGGAGTAGAAACGTGGACATTGAAGGCGGAAACTCTATCAGAACTTTAGGCTTTTGAGTTATGGTTACACAGAAGAATCCTGAAGATACCATGCACAGATAAAGTCACCAATGAAGAAGTACTGAGGAGGATGAACACAACCGCGGATTTGGTCAACATCGTCAAGGGCAGTAATGTGCCGCACTTGAGACATATAATGAGAAATGAAGGCAGATACGGGCTATTCCAATGCATTTTGCAAGGTAAAATTTAAGGTAAAATTTTAAGGTAAAATTTTAAGGTAAAATTTTAAGGTAAAATATAAGGGCCCCAGGACGAAGAAGAATATCCTAGCTTGCTAACCTAAGAGCATGGTATAGAAAGACCTTAACCCAGCTACTCCATATAGCAACCAACACAGTCATCATAGCCAGAATTATCGCCAACGTTCGGAACGGACAGGCAGACTAAGAAGAAGAATATAAATGTATATCCGCAAATGCTTTGTTTTTCGAAATAAGGGTCGCTGAAATATTACTTACAAACTGAAGATTTATTTATTGCTATGAAACTGGTTTAGATATACAAATTATTTATCATAGTTTTTAAGATGTATTTATTGCTCATTTTTTTTCATACAATCCAGAATTTTATATGCATCATTGGCGCACATATAGGTGATAGTTTTAATTTATTTAAAGAAAAAATTGTACGCCAATGAGATTCAAATTAAAAATTATTTTTGAATTTATCGCCAAATTTTTAATTTGTACTCCAATCTTCAGAGATGAAAATGCCAAAGGACCTCTAAAAATCATACGAGCAAGCTGAATTATGATGAGAATGTCAATTTTGGGATTTCAAAGAAAATAATAAAAAAGTTTATTACTTTTAAACTTCGGCTTCTCCCTAAAACCCCCTCGCAGGGGGAAGGGGAAGGAAAAAATCGATTTACCAAGAATCAGTAGGTATGCCGTAGAAAACATGTTTTAAATAAAAAATATAGCTGGGATAATTACAGTTTTTAACAAAAATGTGTTTTAGCACTTATAAACTGTTCTCTTGAAAACAACGCTTGAAGCGACCGGTGATTTTCAATGTAAGGTATGTGCGCGAAATATCAATTTATTATTAATATTTAGATATTTTCAACTAAAAATTCGATATCTTCTGATTTGAGTGTGCCGGGAAAAATGTGAGGGATTTGAAATATGCCGAACAAACGCTGAATTAAAACTATCACATTATAAACGATCTAGAGCATTTAACTGCTCCTTTTTAATTACAGAAGTACGTTTTTCGAAACGACACAACCTCAGCTACAAATTTCACCTAAAGCGCATTCGCCAAAACTTAAAATTGAAACTATATTATTATAGATTTGAAGATAAGGCTCTACCAATGAAAATTTCATATCGACCGGTTAATATTTTCACCTGATTGCTTTCATTTTTATATTAATTGTACATTTGTTTTGCCTTTTAGGTATTGTTTCTATGCATTTTTCTTCACTTTTATATGCTTTTTTATTTCTTCGGACAACCATGCGTCTATTTCTTTGTTGAGTCTTTTTTAATTGTTCCGCATACTTCCTCAGCTGCATCCAGTAGCAAGTCCTTGTAGTTGTTACATAAGTTTTTTTTATTGATGTAAGTTTTTCGTTTATTTTCTTCTCAAAAATTTTTGCCATTTCTTAATTGCTTAGTTTATAGGTTTTTGTCATCTCTTTTATAATTGTTTTTTCCTGTTCTGTACTAGTATTCTTCTTTTTTTATTTCTTCTTTTATCTTTTTACTACCTATTTCAAATCCTCAGTGTACTTTTGTATCCATTACTTTTCTTACATCATTGTTTTTAACCAGTTTTATGGATTTATTCTATATCCAGTCAATTATGGCATTTCGTTTCGTTTCATTTCGACTTTTTATTTCTCTAGTATATATATATATATATATATATATATATATATATATATATATATATATATATATATATATATATATATATATATATATATATATATGGATTTTCTTGTGTTTAAAAATATATTAGCTATTGTCATATTGTTTAAATGCAAAATTCTAGAAATCTCCTTTCATTGTTATTTCTGGTCATTTCTCTAGATTATGGTCCTATATGTCTAAAGTATATTATTTTCGTCTTTATTTCTATAATGCTCTATAACTCTTCACACAAATTATCTTTGCTTTGTGCGTCATCATCTTCGTTTAGTCCATATACTACTAAAATAGTTTTATTACGGCTACACTCATTATTATATATTTCTATTAGTAATATTTTTTCTTTCTGACCATGCTTTCCAAAAGTATATCTGTTTTCCAATGCTTTATGTATTATACAACCTACACATGCTGCTATTTTTAATGTTTTTCAGGTGATCTGAAAGTTGACCTCTGATTCTCACTCACTGACTAACAATTTCCCTAATATATCTTTTGCATCACTTCCATTTATTAAGGATGTCTCTCCCAAATTGACCAGAATTTTTGCACAATATCTACCAAATGTAAAAATTGCTTATAAAAGTACTCTAGTTGTGGGATCCTGTACAATTCATTGAAAGATAAAGTACCAAACTTAGATAAAAGTGATGTTGTCTACAAACTTAATTATTTAGGCTGTAAAGGTTCTTATATAGGTCACACCTCCCAAAAAGTTCCAGCCGTTTGACTCTTCACAAGAGTGACATTAGGTTACACCCTGATAGATGGTCCCTAGCCACACATGCTAACACAACAGGGCACTCTTTCGATTTTCCAAATGTAAAAATCCTCTCCACGGAAAGCAATTATTCAAAAAGATTGTTTCTCGAGATGGCGTTCATTTTTAAAGAAAAAGAAGCCATTAACAAAAAGACAGATACCAATAAATTAAGCAACTTATATTCATTATTGTTAACTTTAGATAAACATGAATCTACTAATACCGACAATTCATCGCCAACAATATAAGTTTTATTATGAGATATACAATATCTCTCCTACTTCTAAAATATGCCTTTTTGTCTTTTCTTTATCAAGAAGCTCAGCATCTATCAGGTATACTATTACCTTTACATCGTTATTATTATTAAGATGTAACTTTCTGTCGTTTTAAGTTGGTAGCAACGAATTCACAACAAATTCTTTTGTTTCGTATAAGAATATTCAGCTTCATCAGGAGACAAATAAAATATGGTTAAAAGTTATATAAAAATTCAGGTGAGAGTAAACAATGAATCACTTTTTTTCAAATCATCCTACTCATCAAACGTTTAATACAGTCATTTCAATGAAAAATAGGGTAAGGCATATTACTGATGATAAATACATAAACAAAAATTTAAATTTGCTGTTAAACGTCTTTCAAAATAATGGATAACCAAAACATTTCCTTAAAAAATTGATATTTAACTCAGACATTTTTGACGGTCCTACTGATATCGGAGGAGTACAGGCAATACAATATACCATTAATAAAACAGTTAACACCTTCTGTAACTAGTTTATTTAAACAATTGACTAACATTAAAATTGTCCAATATAATTTATTAGAAAACCGATAACTGTTTTCTACAGTAAAAGACAAGACACCAACTGTAAATAAAACTAATGTTATCTACAAACTGCCTTGTTTGGATTGCCAGAGCTGTTATGTTGCCCAAACTTCTCAATGACCATGACAAAGGGTCACACAACACAAAAGTGACTGCACAAAACAAAAGAATACATGTGCGGCAGTTGACCACTTAAAAACTGGCCATCAATCTGACTATTCAAATGTCAGGGTTCTACAGCAAGAAAATAATTATAAGAAAAGATTGTTTTTGAAAATGGGTCATTAAATAGCAATAGCAAGTGAGCAATATCTACTGTAATATTCTGAGTCTGTTCAAATAATTTTTCTGTTTACAATTATATTTTAAATTACCCTGTATATTTTTAACGTGTAATTTTATTGTGTTTTAATTGTTTTTTGGTTGTTTTTGTTTGCTCTGTTTTTATATTTAATTAATAGTGACCTAGGTGCTTTTAACCAATACTGCCAGTACTGTTTTGAACATATTATGTACAACTACTGTTTTAAATCTATAAATCTGTAAGTCATTCATTGTTTATTCTCACCTGATTTTTTATATATTTTTTTACCATTTTTACCATATTTTAGTTGTCTTGAAGCTGACAAAAAATTAGCGAAATATAGAGAATTTAACGAAAAAAGATTTTTTTTTAAATTACAGACCGCATACACGATACACCAAGATATATATATATATATATATATATATATATATATATATATATATATATATATATATATATATATATATATATATATATATTATGTGTGTGTGGTGCGGGTATGTGTGTATGTAGAGAGAAAGATGGCATTAGACAAAGAATCTTTTTGTCATATGTATACATTGTATTAAATATTAGAATAATTAGGAACAGCTTAGTTTAATTTATAGTTTGCATTGTTTTAATAAAATAATTAAAATAAGTTTTCTAATAAAGAAAAATGAAATTAATTCTACAAGAATGTGGAAAACTGAAAAACCAAATCAACATTTTGAATTGTTTTCTATAAAACCTGAAGATAGCTTCAAACATTTAGATATATATATATATATATATATATATATATATATATATATATATATATATATATATATATATATCTCTTCAGAAGTTGGAATCTTAATTAATTTAACTGCAAAAGGTATTTAAAAGACACATCTTCAAAAGTTAGTTCTACATTACAGTATCATGCAAATTGTGCTCACCTGTATCTACAATTACGTCTATGAGATCCATACTTTTAGCGAAAGCGTCTCTAAGATTGATATGATGAAAGGACACTATGCTTCCCTCTCTCTTGGCTCGTTCCAAGGCTTCTCTCCTCTTAAGGGCCTTCTCTCTTCTCATTTGATTCTTATAGAACTCGGCAAAATTATTAACAATGATAGGAATGGGCAACGCAATCACCAATACCCCGCAAATACAACATACGCTTCCTATAACTTTCCCAAGGGGTGTCGTTGGGTAAATGTCACCGTAACCAACCTATTTAGGGTATACGATTAACTAATAGATTTATCCGTAAAGTTTTTTTGGCTACAGATTTTGGTTTTAGAATATGATCCCTACTTATTAAACCCTTTAAATTGTAAATATTAGTATATCGCAAACAATGCCAAAATATCTTTAAAAATATTATTTCAAAAAAGCACATTTGCTGTTAACTATTACGTGTGTTCTGTATAATAGTCTGGCATTAGTAGTTAAAGTTAAAAGTTAAAGCCTTTAATATTAAATTATTAAAAAAAGTACTCTTAAAACTCTTTTTAATTATGCGCTAATATGCGTTAGTAGTAATATGAGTAATATAAGCTGTCATTTTTGTTTTGCCTAGTTTTTTATAATATTAATGCTTGAATATGATACCAAAAAGGGTACCAAAGCGCAACTCAAACAATCATACTACACTTAACATGGACGTAAATAAAAAAATATAGAAAATATCAAAAATTAATGAGGAAAATATATAGAATAATATTATAAGAATATTAATAGACAAAAATGGGATAAACAAGTTGTTGGTCAAGTTGCCACGAACAGTATTACGAGAATCCTGATGTTCAAAAAGCTTAGTAAAAATTGTAATGAAAGAATTTATATGATTGTTTCTCAAATTGTTGCAACGATAGATTTTTCTCTTAGATTAATAGATTTTATATGATTGTTTCTTAAATTGTTGTATCAATAGTTTTAGTAGCAATAAAACCTTTTATTTAAGAAACCAGTTTAATACCTAGGGCTACATCTGGATAGCAAACTAAAATGGCAGGAACACATTTAAAAAACTAAAGAAATGAAAATGAAATATAAGAACCCAGGTTATTAAGAAACTTATAACATAATAATAGTGTTCCTTTATATCACTAGTGCGGCTTTGGGATTATAACAAGATAGACTACTATTTCTTGAACCTACGGTATACAAGGATAACAATAGGGCTACTGCTACGCTTTAATCGCCTGTTATTACTCCTAGTGTTACCCAAGGTACTCATTTTATTTTAAATAGATTTATTTTAGATATTTCAAAAATACCTAGATGTTCTCACTGGCGCTGGAATTCTATCACTGGCCTTTTACGTGAAAGTCAGACATTCTACTGGCTGTGTTATCCAGCCCGGCTCATAAGGCAAATGTAGTAATAATACTTGAAATAACAGACTGCATATATTTTGACATATATTTAATGCATATCCCTCATATGAAGTAAAAAAACACAAAGATGTATTATTCTTCGGAAATACTGATTTCATGTTTCAGTCAAAACTACTCACAATCAATTGTAGTGCTTAAAAGTAATAAAAAATGATTTAGTTTGGCTAAATATTTATTGTACCTGACAAACAAGCTGAAATTTAAACTAAAAAGTCTACAACTTGTGAGTGCGTGAGTGATTAAAACTACAAGATGGTTACGAGTAACCATCCGGTATTCTTTTGCTGTATTTTTTTATAAAAAAATATGGTTCTGCTTGTGAAATTTGTTTATTTAATCCATATTGGCCAAGTGACCACCGCCAGTGTTGATGAGTATACGGGGCAGTTTTAGGGCATTTTTCATCACTCTTGGCAGAACTTTGGGCGACAAGTTCTTGCATTCCTAATGAATATTTTCCTTAAGGCCTTTAAGAGTGTGAGCCTTGTTGGCGTAAACTGATGACTTCAAAAAACTTCATAAAAAAAAGTCTGGAATGTTTAAATCGGGTGATCTGGCCGGCCAATACAAATCACCAAAACGAGAGATTAAGCGGCCCGGAAATACTTTCTTGAGAATATCGGTTGTAGCTCAAGGAGTCTATGACACGTCGCACCGTCTTATTGAAACCACATATTCTCTAGTCTAAATTCACCCAATTAAGGAAGGAAAAATTAGATAATAATGGCTCTGTAACGTGCGCCGTTCACAGTCGACGTTTGGCCTGCGGCGTTCTCATAGAAAAATGGCCCGATGACTGCTCTAGCGCAAACAGCACATCACGCAGTAACTTTGGGCGGATATAATGGCTAGAGCGTCGGTTTGGCGCATTTGGCTGTCAACAGCTAATAACTGGTGCACTGTCTGCACTTTTTAAAAAACCATCTTCAAATCTTTCATCATAATTCTACGTAGGGACCACCTGCTAATGCCCAATGTCGTGGCACGCCGTCTTGTCGATGTTCTGGGCCTCTCTTTGACATCTTGGGCAACAGCAGTGATATTCTTAGCAAAACGGCCCTTTTTGGAGCAGTCAGACTTAGGAGCATCTCCTCTTGTCCTTGTCTTTTTAAGGCAAGTGGCAAAACACACCAGTATTTGTCCAGTTGGTGTTGGACGGCCAGTAGACCTAAGACCAAAAACACGTTGCGCCAACACAACCGACGAATTTTTACGAAAAAAATTGAAACAATTATTACAATTACGAATTTTTACAAAAAAAATGGAAATAATTATTCCGCGTCCTTATGTCAAAACCTTAATTGACATTTGACGACGCTATTTTCAAAACAGTCTAGTACAAAGTAATACTAAGCAGGCAGCCTTTGATTTAATAAGCACTCGTAAATGTCATTTTTTTAAATTTAGAGGGGTTTAGTATCAACAATAAAGGCTTTTGGCCTTTAATGTGTCTTTTTATGTAATTTGTGTTGGAAATTATTTTTCAATGAAGTTTTTATAACCTCCTATAAGACAAAGCTCTGAAGATGGCACGCAATATGCTGAAAATACTTAGCTGGTTTTAATAAAAAATTTACACGATTTTGAAAACATACACCTATTGCCAATTTGATCTATATTTTGTATACAAGTGTATACAAGTCATACAGTCCTTTTCTAATTTACTACAAAGTAACTCTGCTAGAAGTGCTATGGCAAATAGCAATTGCTCATAGAGAAACGGCTAAAAGTCTTGATTAAGCAGTAGCTTTCATAGAATCAGAGACATTTTGAGGTATACCAAAAGACCACACAGTAAAAGCTATCCTATAATAGTAAAGAGATCTTATTGCAGAGTATCGTAAACATATTTGAAGTAAAAGTTAAGCAAAAATGTGACAACAACAACTTTTCGTTCGCAACGTTAGAGTAATCACTAACGTTCTCACTGATCAGTGTTCTTAGATACCGTCCCTGTAAAATGGGCAAAGTAGACAGAACAGCTTACAGATTCAGACGAACTGAAGGCAGTTACTTGTCAATGATAGATATACACAAAATATCCCTCAGGTGGTAGTGTGCAAAGAACTATTAGATCAAATGACTCCTTTAAAATCTACAAGCTACAAATTTAGAACAATAAATGGCAAGATATATTATTTAGAGATGAATAACAATACATAAAATAAATAAACAATATTATCTTATTAAGTAACTAAGATTTACCACAACGAAAACACCGTTGATAGAATAACAATTAAACACAGACTAGAAAACATAAGGAGAATACCTAAATGTGTGCGAAGTATTATAAAATATATTACCCTACCTGCTTGCTCGAGAATTTAAACCAGAAAGAATGGTATACGATGAAACAGGTAATATAGTAAGTGATGAATACATTTCTTGAGACTTAGAACTATTGCACAGAATTAAAGAGGAAACGTATAACATTAATCATATTACAGAACTAAAAATCACACCAACAAAGCTAGAACCAGACACCGTCAGGTCTGAAGTTGTTGAAGCTCAAAAACATCTTAAAATAAATAAATCACCTTGTGATGATATCGCATTGATGATTACATTAATATAGAAAATAGGCAAATAGACTAAACTATTAAACTCTCTTACTTATTTTATACTCAAGTAAAATTCTATCAATGTCGCATGCAGACATACCTGGACAGGAAAATGTCATAATAAAAGCAGGTTACGTTAAGGATAAGGGCATAAGATAGTAAATTCTCAATACGCGACAGCTCATTAAAAAAAATCGAGAATTTAAAATTTCTATGATCATCCGCTTTTTGGATTAATAGAAGGTATTTGACTATGTAAACAAAAAAGTTTTGTTGGACAATTCTACAAGAGATGGAAGTTCCTTCCATCTGCCAGCTCTGGTCAAATGCCTTATGGAGCATAATGTAACGAGCAAAATAATTGGAAACCGTGTATCCCTACTCATAATATTTAAAAGTAAGTGAAGAAATCCATCAAGGATATATTCTAGCTCCAAGGTGCTTTATATTCTATGAAGAATAAACTTATGTCTCAAAAAAATTTTTGTTTAAAATCCTTTATAAAAGGTATATAAAAAGGCCTCAAACGGGCTATCACAAACACATTACAAAACGTTTTCGGATTAAACAATCCATCATCAGTGCAAACGGTTGTACATGCTAGTAGCCACCAAAATATATGGGTAAAAACCCTTTAAATGTTATAAATTTGAAGTTGTTTTACATTATTAGTATTTCTAATTTATAACATTTAAAGGGTTTTTACCCATATATTTTGGTGGCTACTAGCATGTACAACCGTTTGCACTGATGATGGATTGTTTAATCCGAAAACGTTTTGCAATGTGTTTGTGATAGCCCGTTTGAGGCATTTTTATATACCTTTTATAAAGGATTTTAAACAAAATTTTTTTGTCATATATGGTATACAGCCAGCTACAGGAACTTAGTTTCCTCGTGGAAACTTATGTCTATCGCAAGCAAAAAGATCTCAAGCCTTAGATATGCAGACGAAACAAATCTAATACCTGCACACGAAGAAGAAATTCTTAGGCTGCTACAGCTAATGGCAACCGAAAGCAATAGATTTAGGCTCAAGATCAATAAACAAAAGACAAAAATTATGATAACCTATAATTCAAACTGTAAACACTGTAAACAACCGAAGCCTTGGACCAATTTGCAATGATTCACTTTTGTAAATCCAAAATACTTACGGAATGGTAACAGGAATGGTCAGAAATGTTACGAGTCGGTTATAAAAACTATGGAAAGATCGCTTGCTTTGAAAGAACAGCAAAATGAGATTGGTACGTATCCGAATTATAGACAATGACATCGGACGATAGAAAAGTAATTGACTTTCAAGATGTGCTAGAGGCGAATCCTCAGAGATAGAGTACAGAACAAATTACTCAATCCTCCAAGCGTTTAACATACTGACTCTTCTTCTTCTTCATGTACCATGTCCTTTCAGAACGTTGGTTACCATCATAGCTATTTTAATTTTTTTCACTGCCACCCTAAATAGCATGCTTGTATCTACACCATACCAATCACGCAAGTTCTTCAACCATGAGGTTCTTCTTCGTCCTGTACTGCGTTTGTCTGCTGACTCGTCTCTTCTCTATTTGTATCTTAGGCATTTTAAAGATTTTGGACATATTGCAAGAAGAAGTATCTGTATCTGTAGAGTAGGGAGGGCCAGTTAAGTTTCACAGCACTTAGGCCACAATTGACTCATTGTGCATCATTCCAGGGAGCTGTCACCCTCAGCTCATTGTCCATCCTGCCATTTCTAGGAAGGTGGACAAGTCACCAGAAGACATATCTCTTGAGACGTCTCAATGATAATCTTAAGAGACTTATAACTTAATGATATAACACTCGATGTACAAGCAACTGCAGAAAGCCAGCGACAAGCCATGAGTTCATGAGAGCAGCCCAGGGTAGAAGGAAAGAGATAGTTGCTCGAATGGTAGAAAATCACTACACTCAGTAATGAGAAAACAACAAAAGAGGGAGAGATTATGACATAAAATGAAGAAAATTAGATAATAAATAAAGAAACAAAAGCGAGATAGTTATAAATGAGATAAAATTTTGAGATAGTTGTAATTGAGATAAAATTCTGAGTGTAGCTAGAAGCAACTCACCAGTATAAAAAAGCAAAGATTAACGTGGTTCAGACTGCTAAATTATTTTATAAACATTAATACGTGATATAAGCATCATAAAGAGAAGAAAAACAGAATCTTTCGCCCATATCATAAAGGACATAAATTTCATCTACTTTGCCTTCTAATACAAATAAAAATGGAGGAAAAGCGACAAATCTGTCGAACAATGGCGTGGTTCCACAATAGAAAATTTATTTTGTACAGCGGCCAATAGAAAAAGGTTTCAGGAAATTGTAAACATGATGACGCCCAACATCTGAATACTGACACGACACCTAAAGAAGAACAAGATATGTTAAAAGAACTAATTAATGAGAAAATCAGTAAAGAAAATTAAGAATAAATCAACCTGAAACATCTTGAATAAATGAAGTGGTACACAAGTTATTAATAAAGAGAGAAATTAAGCGATAGAGATAGATTAAAGAAGTATAAAAACACTAATATTCTTAAATAATATACAAAAAGAACGTCGTAAATTTAAAATACACAACTATTTTAAAATTAAAAGCTTTCACCCAAAACATATACAATAAGAGAAGAAAAAAATAACATGAAAAATAAAACAATAAAAACTAACGGAAGTTAGTGAGAATTAGCAAGGCATAGACTGAAGACCCAAGGTTCACAAACAAATTAAGCAAGGCTCAGAAAAAAATTCCGCTCATCACTATATTTATAATTGTTTTTTATAATTAATAGCGAAGCAGTAGACAAAATTTGGGAATTTGAGAACCCAAAAAATACCACAGTGGTTTTATGAAAATGTTTTATTTGCTTCTTGTTGAAAAACTAATTGGAAAAATAAATATTTTTTGTTTGTTTTGGGTATTTAGAAACACAATATGATATTGTAGTTATTTTTATAGTTAAAAAGTCTGTATGAATTTTAATGGTCGTAGAAAAAGTATATTGTCCTACTCACCAGTAATGGCTATTACTTGTGAGGATAAATTACGCCACACTTCATCCTCATGAGTAATAGCCAAATTACTGGATCGTTGAATAATATACTAATTCATTAGCAATACTTTTGGTTGTAATAGGGATCATATTTAAGGAATCTTTAAATGTTTTTATTAAGTTTTGGTGTTTAATAAGCTGTAGCCGATAAAATCTTACGGATATTTACTACTAACCGTTGTCATGGTAATCCCTGCCCACCAGAACGTCTCTGGAATGCTTATGAACTTAGTACCAGGCTCTTCTTTCTCAGCGAAGTAGCAAAGGCTAGAAAATATGAGCACCCCCATAGCCAAAAACAGCATGAGCAAGCCGAGCTCCTTGTAGGAGTTCCTCAGGGTAAAGCCCAAGGACTGGAGCCCAGTGGAATGTCTAGCTAACTTTAAGATACGCAAGATACGCATAATTCTAAAGACTTGTACTACTCGCCGCACATCTTGGAATTGATCCGTGGCGTTTTTATTAGTTTCTAGTAGGAAAAGGGATACAAAATAAGGAAGGATGGCTAGTAAATCGATTATGTTAAGTCCGCCTTTAAAAAACTTCCATTTATTAGGCGAAGCACTAAATCTTAAGATGTATTCTAGTGAAAACCAGGTTATGCACACGGCTTCTACCATTGCTAGCTGAGGGTTGTCTTGGAAGTTACCCTTCTCATCGTTTACTTGCATACTAGGTATTGTGTTGAGGGTGAGAGCTATTGTTGATAGTACTATGAATAGGATGGAAACGATGGCTATAACCTGGAAGATATAGGGCAAATGAGTTAACTCCCCATAAAACAACAAATTCGGAAACATTCAAGACCATATTCTAAACAAAATCGTTGTTAGTACAGTTTTGAATTTTTCCTTATTACGGAACATTCTATAGATATTTATACACCCACATTATTCTCTTTAGCTCAGGACAACTTTGCGTGGAATTTAGGAGGTGCAAGCAAACAGTACAAAAGGCACAATTAATTGTGTGGAAACTTGTGTAGGTTGGTGTTTAGTCATTGGGTCAATAACATAACAAAAGAACAAATAAAAGAAGAGTGAAATTATCTGGATTATAATTTGTGTTAAAATAGATTTAAATCCACAACTTGTATGAATATTGTTTTTTATATTAGTTCTTAATAACATATATTTGACTTAATTACATTATTATAACAGAAATAATTATTTTGCAATAAGTCAACATTACAAATATTGAATATTTCTTACTATATTACTATTATAGTAGTTGTTCTTCTTTATACTAGGTAACATTGCTGTATTTTCTTAGATTTCTTGTTAGCTAATATTATTATACTGTTTTTACGACAAAATTTGTTTCACGGACGTCCAATATTTTTTCGACTAGTATGACATTTGTCTTGTGCTACGCTTGATTTGTTAATACACATGTTTTCTGATGTCAAAATTATTTTCTATATCCATTAAAACATTTTTTATCACCTAAAATAGTTTTCTCACTTTTCCATACTCCGTACTCAGCTACGGAACTTTTCCAAGTTTTACTACCAGTTATCATGTGAGAAGGAAAAGCTTATCACGTAGTGCTATCACTTAAATTAATTTATGTTAAATAAGCAGTTCTTGCTCAGCGTTTAAGAATTGGGTAATATAGAAATTCCTATCGAATAGCTCCAGAATTCTTGACGTTTTTTGATCTTTTAAGTTGTTAAAGTGGTAGTCCTATTTATGATTTGTCTAGTTGTAATTTATCTATGAATATTAGTTTTTGGCGTATCTTGTTCTGTTTAGATCTGTTTTTATATATTTCATACTTTCTAACTTTTGTAAAAAATAACATTTTTCATATATTTTTTTTTGGTGTTGCACAGTTTTATTTTTAAATTGTCTATAAAAGATGAATAATTTATATGACGAATAAGATTAATGGAAAGTAAATAGTTAGTAGTTTAAATTTAAATCATCGTCAAGGCTTTCCGTTTGTGTTCTAATATTGCAGATGTCTTCTGATTCTTTTATTGTGGTGAATCACTACATTCTTGTTTTTATTTTATAGATTATAGTCTAACTTAGCTTTAATTATAAAAGTTTTAAGTAATGGATTCGACTGTTACTCGATAAAAATTTATTTAATCTAACAACAAAACAGCTGTTTTGACAGAGTGTCTTTTTCTTCTTCTTCTTGTGGTGCCTATCCGTTACGGATGTTGGCAACTAGCATGGCAATTCTAACTATATTGACCGCAGTTCGAAATAGTCCTGAAGTGGTCAAGGAAAACCATTTTCGTATATTCGCGAGCCATGATAGTCTTCTTCTTCCTTGTCCCCTCTTTCCGTAGACCTTTCCCTGTAATATAAGTTGCAGCAGGTTATATCTATGGTTGTTTCACATTATATGTCCAAGATATTCTAGCTTGCGCTATTTTACTGTGGATATTATTTCACATGTCTTATCCATCCGACGTAGAACCTCAATGTTTGTTACACGGTCCACCCAGGAGTTTCCATACAGTGGTTTTCTGAGTCAAAATAAATGGTATGTTACCTCTATTTTTCTACGTATTTTCTACATTTATGCCAATGTACGCAGTCGAATGGTTAAGAATGGTCAACACGAAGCATAGGTAAGTTTATACATTTAATATCGGATGATTTATTGACAATTTAACAAAAATTTACGACTTGTGGACGGATTTTTCTTCCAGGGACAAATCCGGATTGTTCCTCTAAAATTTGGGGTAGCTGAAAAACTTTTAGCCATTAATTAATGATAATTAACAGAACTTGTGATGTTAGAGCCATTGTTTTGTAATTACTACAATCTGTTGGAGTTTCTTTTGTACAGAATTGAATTAACACGAATTTACACCAATCAGATTGCCATTTTCACACATTCCATATATGTTTACAAAATGTATTAATAACGTTAATTCTGTAATATCCAGTATCTACTACCTCTCCTTATATGCCCAGATATTTATGTTTTGTCCTTTTTATCATCTTCTTCAAGTCACCTTCATTTTGTAAAGTAAAAGTTAAGTACTACACGGCAATATTAGACTAGAGGATTACTTGAAATCAGTAGATAGGACCTACAAATGGAAAAGAGTGGGGTTTATTTCCTTAAAGAAATTCTTTATAAACTGGTCGTTTTATAATGGATTTATAGCATTTTTGCTATATTTAGAATAACAGGGGTTTTGAGCTACTCTAGAGACACCACTAAACCTCCATCCTCTAAATAGATGAGAGATCAGAATATAATAACATCATAAACAAAAGTAGGGATACCACGATGATTTCTGATCGTATAGTATCCAAATATACACGCCAAATATGGAACGGGAAATGGCCAAATAAGGAACACGCACTCCATGCTGCAGGGTTACACTTGGTAAACAGCTGGTCTTAAACTGTAGAAGGATCATGTGAAGAAATTTATAGTAGTGGTGTAATATACTTCTATATTTTATGCGGAGATTGATGCCATAGAAAGAAAAATCCATAGGATCTTTTAAATTTAAGCGGATCAATAAATATAAATAGAGTCAAGCGTTATGGGAGCCGTCAGGAATCCAAAATTGTCTCTAGGCAAATCTAGGTTCTAGAAGAACTCGATTAATTGATATACGACATACGACAATATAATCCTAGTACCTATAAGATAACATTTTTTTGCATTACCAATAATATGATCAATTGGTGGTGTAAAAAAGTATTATCTTATGGGTACCAGGTCCTCAGAAAATACAGGGTAAGAAAAGAGGCGATGAAATTGCTAACAGAGGATCACTTTGCGCCCCTTCATTTCGATTTTGATTGTGTTTGTACTGCCTTCCTCTGCTACAGTTTTTGATTATAATGACTCCATTACCATTTATGTTCGTGTAATTAGTTTTTTCGATAAGTCTTGCTTTTTTTAATTTTTTTTTACAATTTAATAATATTCTACGAAGAGTTTCTAAAATTATATGTATTTCATCTGGTGTTAATCCCCTTTTGATACATCCGCCAGTATTTTTTTTTTACTGTGTGTAAAGGGTGAAATGTCGGATGCAGAATTTTGGAAGTTTTTTTTTGGGGGAGAATTTATGTTATTTTCTTAAAACTTTGTACAATTTACTAGTTCTCTTGTAACAAGTTAGATTCTCCCTCATTATTTTTAAAGATTTTATAAAAAAAAACACATACGATTAGTTTTTATTTTATCCTTTCTTTTTAAGACTCTTTTTCATGTTTAATCAGATCTATCACGCGTTTTATACTTTTTTATTACTGTCCAGAATCTGTCATTTACTATCAATTATAAAAATACTACAACATTCAAATATCTTCTGGTGTTTGAATCAATTTGTTAATATTTTTTACTTATTTGTGTTGACTTGTTAGACCCAACTTCAATGTAATATAGAAATATTATTATTATAAAAAAAAAAAATCATGCAAGTTGCTCAGATTTGCCAATTAGGAAAGTAGAGTAAGGTCAATTTTAAAGTACTATAACAGGCCAATTGTACAATATTTACCAATTTTACAATAACATTTACAATAGTGCACCAATTTACAAAAAAACCACGAAAGCATTTATGTTTTTTTGTTGAGAGGCAATGTACAAATTAAAACAAAATAATACACGAAACACGTACAACATATAAGCTTTAAGCAAACACAGTAGAAAGGTATTGTGGTGAAGAAAGTATCGCAAATAAAACGCTAAACAAACTCGTGTTAGATGTATCAGTCAGTGAGTATGTTAGAAGCAATAGTCCGTAGCAAGAGAAGATAGGAAGCTTATGTACACTGAGCTCGAACCCATATATCGATCATAACCAGTCTGGTTGGTTTGCTGCTCGACGTTTTGGGGACTACGCTTTAAATCAAGCTTCGAGTAAACATTATTGGCGAATCGTTAAATTGTTAGTATTTTTTATTCGCACTATTCTTGCCAAGTCAACAATCTTGACTTAGAAAGCCAAAAAATAATAACACTACTGTTAACACTACGTTAGGATATCTTTAAGAGACGCTAACTTGTTTCTAAATATAAAAATAAAAACACTATGTACTACTGCGAGATATTTTTAATTACAATAATTTATTTATTAGTTAGTAGGTTACTCACTTTTATTTGTCCTAATTTTTGCCTCTTAAAATTTGTAAAAATGATTACTAATATTTTATTTGCCATGAGATAAAATAAATTTTTAAACTGGTTATAAAACAGTTCTTAAAAGCTTAAAAATCATTTAATACCAAAGATTCAAACTTTTATATAATTCTTAATCTAAAAATTCACTAATTAATAATTAATAACGAAAGAGGGTACTCCAAAAATATATTTGCGGAGAAGTCTAATACACAATCAGAAATAGCAACAAGTAAAAATACTAAAGCCAACAGGGAATATTACAGAGACTAGCTTAGAAAACGCTAACAGAAAAGTAAATGATTAAGAAAGTGCTACCAGAATGATTTTAAATTGATCTGACGGCCGTTGCGCCTCCACATCAAAGGAGGACATAAGGATACATATTGGTCGGGGCGTAGGGGACATGAGAATACGTATTGGTCGGAGTTGGTTCGGTTGGTATTGGTTGGAGAACATGAGGTTACGTAAGCTTGATAGATAAAAGAAGAAAAATTGACGCCATCTTCGCGTTTGAGAGATGACAGATAAAAAGAATTGACACCGTCTTCACGTTTGAGGGATGACAGACGAAAAAGAAGAAGAATTGACGCCATTTTCACGTTTGAGGGCTGATAGACAAAAAGAAGAAGAA